CTAATGGGAAACAAATAGTTCATGAGACAAGAAGCAATAAAAAAATAACTATTCAAATGCATACTTAAAAAAACTTTAGAAACAAATAATGCAAATTGGTTATATATTTTTTAGTAAAGTTTAAAAGTTTTAACTTATATATACAATACTCCACAAAAAATGGGGTTCACTGAGCAATACAGCATAGTGCGTATTAATGGCGCGCACTCAGCCATTTCTACTATTTTGCCGCGTGGAGACGTTAAAATTGACCACATTTCAAGCTGTAATAAATTTCAAAACACCGTAAAAGCTTTCAAATGTTTTTTTTTTATTTTTTGTCTGCAATGATTTTTTGTCGAATTTTAGTAATTTGAAAGTTGCTCAATTTTGTGCGTCTGAAAAGTGTTCCCTATTTTTATAAAGTAGTGTATATATTTTATATATAGATATAATTTTTCTTGTTAAATATTAAAATAAATTGCCAGTTGATTAAAAGTCTTGTGAAAATATATAAAATCTGAATAATGCTACCTGTCATTTGTTTATAGATAAAATGTGAAAATGACATGTCTCGAAATAATTCTGTTTTATGCGATTCTAAATCTCATTGAGCAGAACTTATCTACGACGCTGATAATGTGTTCTGGCGAACGGCTATCTCGGTGCTCGCACATAAATCATGATTAGGGCAGCCGCATGTGGTCGCGATACATGCCGTGTGAATCGGCCGCTGCGTGCGAGACGGCACGAGAGATAGGTTTATTGCGGGCACTGCGAGTTTAGCATCGCAAAGTCACACACGTATACCCATACGCATACGCATACACGCATTTCGTCTCACAAGCCTCTCCAAAATCATTACCGACAATGGCGCGGGACAGACGGCCATCGAGCTCGGACAATGAGCAGTGTTGGCAGCGACGTTGTCAGCCAACCCCGAGCACATAGGCTGCTGCCAGTCTCCGCTAACCCCTCCTCCACAACCCCTCGATCCTTTATCCGTCTTTCTCCGTTTCTCCGCTTCTCTCTGACTATTCGACCCAGAAAAAGGAGGGGTTCCCCGTGCAGATTGCACAACCGTCCGACGCCAGCTGGCCAACCCCTTGACCCCAACAGGGTGGACGCTCGACTCACCCGTAAAGATCCCGTGTACACGTAACCCTGGTCCGATCTGACCAAAGGGGGTTGAAAAAGAAAAGGTGTCCAGCCGGCCGTTACCGTCGCACCTCGCTACTGACCGATTGGATGGGTGTTAAACGGCGCGCGAGATGGCGAGTGAAGAATTGTGGAACGCGGGCTGAATGAAAGGGGCATAAAGAGGCACGACACAGAAATATGTTCCAGGTGATCCGGTCAATAAAACGCCGGGCTGAGTATCGGGGCGAAGGTAAATCCGGTTTGAATCTCGCGTTTTTCTCGCCGCGGCTTTTCGAATTCGCGTTCACGCGCGAAGACACCGCTGCAACGGCGCTTCGAGACGCGTCGCCGTTATGCATTTATAAAAATGTAGGAACAGGTGACACACAAAACACGCGGTGGCTGTAACAACGGTAAGCGGTTGGCCACTGCAGGAACGAAGCAGCTGTACACTGAACTTCTAACGCTAGATATCTCTTTGTTTGAGGAAGTTTTTTTCCTTATCTGCGCCTGTCGGAAACAAGTTTTTCCAGCTCGAGGGAACGCCAGAATTCCGCCCGTGGTGCTCTCGTGCACATTAATGCATATTCGTAGAAACGTGTCTTATTTAAAAGACAGTGCCTCTTTATTTTACTAATAATTTCTGTATGTTAAATTAATTATATAATAGTAAACAATTAAATGGGGACCATTTTCTACAAAAAAAAAAGAAAATTAATTTAACAAAAATTTCACGCTCGAATCACTCTGACGCGATTTTGATCTATGCTTCTTTATCCATCCAGATCGGCAGATCGTAACTAAGAACATTGTTCCGTTCGCAGGTACTTTGCGACGGCCGATGCGGCTCGTTCCGCCTCGGCGTTTTTTTCTTCCCCGGCTGACTAAGTTTTTTATGGTGGCCGTGTGTCGGACCCCTTTCGGAACTACCTGGACGCGTGCGCGGCGCGTTTCTGGTCTCGTCGACTTGTTTCTTTTTTTTTTTTTCTTTTTTGGTAGAAAGCACGCCGCGCTACCTGGAACACCCGGGAAAGACGAATTAATATATCGGGTAATGGATTAAAGGCCCCGGGACCTACCCCACGTAAACGTCGATGCAACCCTCTCTCTTTTCTCTCCGATGCGTTTATTTATACCTGCGTCTCTCCGCGGGATGCACGCGCTTATGGTCGACGCATAACCGCGCGCACCATACGCACTATTGTGCGGAAGGCGAGATGTCGATAGGGTTGCGAAACGACAATCCCTTTTTTTTTTCCTCCGCGCTCACACCTTCGGCGGAGTAATTGGAAAGCGATATATCCTTCCGCTCGATGAAAACGGGTGCTGTATTGAGTGGCGACCTGCGTGCTATAAAAGTCATCATAGCGACGAGTACAGGTTCACGATAGGTCAAAGGGAAAATAGATGTGTTATTTTATAACGTAGCTACTTTAAACTTCGCATACGAATTTCATGTAAATTTTATAACGTTATATGATTTAATTAATATATGCAAATTATATTAATTATCTATGTATTATCGTAAAATATTGATGCACGAATAAAAATAAATCGCTAACAAATATTAGCTAAATTCTCGAATTATTACGCGAATTGCAAATAAAATAATTTTATCATCAACGGAGAAAGATGTATCATTATTTCTTAAATAGGAACTAATAACCCTCAGTTACAGCTGCAGAAGAGCTACATTAAACGCACGAATGGCACGGCAATATCAGAAAATAAATGACATATATAACCCACCTTATCGAGAACGCGGCAGACCAGAAAACGCCCACTCGTGCCTTGCGCCGGCACGGCAGTTACGCGATCTCGTTAAACGGCGCAAAATTACAGAACTCGTCCGCGTACTAATTGCAGAGAATCGCGCGCTGCGAGCAACATTTGTTCGCTTCGTGGAGGGCCGGCAAACTCCCACGAACGGTAAAGGGTCAGGATCCCACCTGTGAGAAAGGGTCGCGATCCTTCTGTCGCGCTTCGTAACCCTCTCTTCCCGACGAATGCGTGCGCGCGCGTGTATACGTGCGTGACACCTGTTACCGTGCACGGTTATACACGTTACCTGTGCACAGGGGTCGAACAGTTAGACAGGGTTAGAAAGGGTAAGGCCCTAAAGCGGTATCGGGGTCTCGAGCAAAGCGCAACTCTTTTTCTCCCTTTCTCTTTCTCTCTCTCTCCATTCCGCTCGGGGTTTCCATTCCGCTGTAATAATCGCAGGTATACACTGCCACCTTGTGCAGCCCAGATCACAATGCCACGCATCCGTAACCCTTTCGACTCGAAGCATTATGACCCTAAACGTTATCCCGCCGAAAGGGGAAAAATGGGCCGAATAACAGGTTGCGGCCCGTTTGTGTAACCTCGTTTTTCCCCATTTTGATGCCTTTAAGTCTCTTCTTTCTAGTTATAACACAACGTATTTCTTAATATGTTGCACCTTGCGTTTAGCGTGTGCTGAATCTTTTCTAGAAGAACGAACCTTTTAACAGGCGTTTTATGAGGCTATTGTTAACGCAATATAACCAATAAGGTTCAATTTTTTTTCAAAGATCAAATATTACGAGAATTGTAATAATAATAATCTATGTAATGATTGTTTTTTTAACGTCGGCTGATGTACTAATTAAATTTATGACCAATAATTCTTTATTGAACCTCGGTTGTCCCATTTTTACAATACTAGCTTTCGCTTTCACGGCACTCGCACACAAAGTGATCTCTGTTCTCGTCCTCGAATTTCATCGGAAATTGCATGCCTTCGAACACACGTCGCCGTACAATAGTTCTGATTGCCTCGCGGGCGGTCGTCTCGGAAAAACAAGACCTTCGACCACACGACTTCTTGAGAACGAGCTGTTCGCGGTTTAAAAGGAATGAGAAGGGACGAAAATCGAGCAAAACCGAAAGCAATAATTATCGGTGCCCACGAAACGATCGTCGTGGCTGTCGGCGTCGGCCGGAAGTAGGTGGCATTTAACCGGGAACGCACGAAAAGGGATGAAAGGACGAGCCGATCGGGGTCGTTCGTTTAAGACGGACCGAAGAATTAGTCGGTATTGATAATGAGAGAGGTCGCTTCTCTTTGCCTTCTCAATCGACGAGTAGGGGTGTCACCGTTCTATCTTAAGTGTAGTAAAATAGAACGAAAGCGAACATAAAAGAAAATGGAAAAAAAATGACAGTTTCTTAGGAGAACGTTCTTGTAATTACAAACTCCAATTATAATGCTGATGAAAAACGTGATATTAAATAAAGTCTTTTTGCCTTGATTAGCGAAGAGAAAATGAGTTTTCAAAACATAAATAAAATCATTACTTTATAAAAAAATTATTTTTAGAATATTGCATAATAATTTCTCCTGTTAATTATTGATGCAATTAGTAAACTAATGGCACATTAAAAAGTGTCATAAAGCTCTCGTTGAAAGAGCGATATTCTAGGTATTTGCTATAATTAACAAAGGTCGTTCTCATTTAGGTTGCTTCTTATAATTTATGGTAATGTCTCTTGGTGAACTTTTAAAAAAGCGTGACAAAATACGGCACAGTCTATAAATGATATTACTGAAAGATCACTTATCATCGTATCAAGTGCAAAAGTAAAAATCCAAGATAGAAATCCGCGCAATTGTTGAGCCGTTCTTTTTCGATCACGTAATCCAGTTCAAGAAGCCATCTAAGTTTACAGATTTGCAGTCTCGCTTTATCAGACGAAACATAACACGTATCGTGTAAAACTACGTATCGTGTTGCTATCTTATCTGAGATTTTATTTAATTAGAAGACAAAGGCATCTGATTTTCTTTTGCAAACGTAATCAGTTTACAAATATGGCGTAATTAGTGAGTATATAGTAACAAATAAATGATTACTTACCCTAAAGTTGCTCCTCCGGCGCCTAATCCTCTTCTCCTCTTCTCCTCTTCTAAGCCTCCTTCTTCTCTCAGTTCTCCTTACGGTCCTTCAAGCACTCACACACGCGTTCGCGAATCAAATATAAAAATCACACAACACTCCCGTACATTGCACATTAGAACAAAACTTGCACGGAGTATTATTTACATGGATTACACGTTCGGCACCTTGTCGCGATCTAATAAGTAATGACGTAACCTAACAAGTAGCGTCGTAACAAGTGACGACGTAGAAGAATACGACGGAACAATATACCGATACATAACGCGAGAGAAAGAAAGGAAGAGAGAAACGGGATACAGATCACGGAGGTTAAGGATAACGGAAATAATCTCTTCAACGCCGTGAAACTCTTAACATTAGGGAATTTCTCGAACATTTATCGAAATCGAGTTAAAATCGAGTTTAAATCGATTGCGATAAATGTTCGATAATTGCTCTAATGTTTTTAGCTTGCGACGTGTGGTGGGGTTGTTTTCGTCGTCGCGCTGAGCTGCGCACTCTATATCCCCTCTCTTTCTTTCTCACGAACTATGTATTTGTACGCATTTTTGCTCCCTGCTCCTCGCATTCCTTCATATCGAAATCGGCGTGGCTTTGTACTTGTAGTTATCCTGTTATTATTCGCATGACGGTACTTGTACGAAGTAAATTAATTCGTATTCAGCATAGTAAATTATTTCGTATTCGCATATCGTCTCTAATAACCTTATCACTTCCTGCGGTTTTCTTTCCATCTCGTACTGTCCTAACCTATTATATGAAGTGTCAAACGCGCAATAATATTCGAGTCACATCTTTGTCCCAAAATGACAAAGTACGCGTCGGGAGTGTCGTTCAAAATATCGGGCGATATTTTATTAAACGATTGTCGTATTCGCGATGTGAACGCGAGTGAGTGCCATGGGCTGCGCGAACTGAGAGGAGGAGGAGGCTCGGGAGGGGCATCGGGCGCCGGCGGAGCAACGTTTGGGTAATTAATCATTTATTTGTTATTCGCATAAAATATTATATAATGCAATGAACATGAAATGTTAAATACGCTTTAAATATTCAGTAAAATATTTATGATAATTATTCGCCATTTTTGGAAATTTTACACATTTATTACTATTTCAATTAAGTAAACTTTTATATTAATTATTTTAAACAGTGCTCTAATCACTGGATGCATTGTCTTTTACAGCTCAACTTTACGGATCAACAATGCTGTCAAAGAACGACAATTCCGCTGCTGCGCATCGTACCGATGAGTTTAATTTGCTTCATTTTGCTTTTAAATTATGATTATTATGTAGAATGTGCGAATTTTAGATTTTGCGCTTAAATTTAACTAATATTATATTAGCGACGTTTGTAAAGTTTATAAAATAATTGAAAGATTATATTATTTATTGAAAATTAACGGATTGAGATACAATAGTAGAAGCAGCACGATGCATTCAAGCTAACATTGTAGCTATAATAGTAAAGCAACAAACTTAGGCCCAATTAATCTTCTCTAGCGTGCTCTTCGCACGCACGAACGGTTTAACGAGGTTGCTCGAAGCAACGCGCCGCCAACCGAGGACCGATTAATCTTCCCGCGAGAGAAAGAGAGACAGAGAGAGAAATAGAATTCCCCGAATCACGAAGAAACACCGGCGTAAAATTAGCTAACACCACCGCGGTGAGAATCCCGGGATTCCTCTTCTCTTAGGGATAGCATGATGCTGCAACTATAATCCGCTATCGTGGTGGACGGCGAGAAATCGGTTGGCTCTCCCCAGTGGGTTGCTGCGGATCGCGCCCGGCTACCCTTTGTTTGAGAAGCGAATTGTCGATTCATCTCGGCGCGTAATTATTTTTCGTGAAGGCAACAAACTTTTGGACGATGCGCCGTGGGGAGCCACTCTCGGAACCGTCGAATTTACGCCGCATAGCCGTTGTAAATCTGTTACAGATGATTTCGCACTATTCTTGCGTTAACCCTCTCCAATTATTCTCTATTGTTCAAAGATATAAACTCTTTGCTCTTTACTCAGCATCCAGCAATATGCTATTGTTTCATAAATTTTTAATTCGTTGTTACAAGCATGTAACAACGTTGATTCTGTTAAGAGAAAGTAACATTACAAGATTTAACAAAGTCAAAATTATTTTTAGAAATTAGAAATTGCGCAAAGCTGCATCACTTATCGATTCAAGCGATAACAAGTTTTTGATAATAATACATGAGACAGTCAATGATATAACTAACCCTCTTTTTCGATACTTCGATATTTATAACTAAAGATCCTTACCGGGATAACGTATTCTCGGGGAAGAAAAAGTTCTTGAAGAAACAAGCCCGGCGATAGACCGCCAGGGAGATTAACTCTTCCTCTTGGTTTCGAAGGGCGAACAAAAGGGCGAGAGGTCCCGCGACAAGAAGGAAAGAAGGCGACACGCCATTATTCCCCGGGCGCTTTATCTGCTTCTCGGAGAAACAAAAGTTCGCCTCCGCCAGCGCGACAACGGTGGTGGTGGCGACGACGGCAGTGGCGGCGGCGTCGTCGTCGTCGTCGTCGTTGTCGTCGTCGACGGTGCCCACGACTATCGATCTTTTCGCCCTTTCGCGATGGTCCCTCGCGGGGAATAATACGCGACGCAGAGATATACCTTGATCCGTAGATATCCAGCGGTCACGATCCCCGCGAACTTTTATATCGAGGGTCGCCGAAGTTTTTGGGCGCGTACTTCAAAGAAGTTCCTGCAGAAAGAAAGAGAGGAAAGGGGGGAGGTAGGGCGGGGAGGGGGGAAGAAAGAGAAAAGACCTGGCATACCGTCGACAAGTCCATCGTCAGGACACGGCACCGCACCATCAAATATTCTATGAATTCCGAGTCGGCTTTGTGTCGGAATACGACGACGGCGTTGCGAAAGGAGATATTTCGCCGCATTAAATTTTTATCGAAAACTTTTGTACCGCGATAAAATATACCGGCGCGTGCGGCTTCTCGCGGCTCGCTGATATTTATTTATTTATTCGCTGCACGCGCAGGAACCATCAGCAATTTTCTTAATCGATAAAATTGTCCAGCGATATTTTCTACGCTGTTATCTTTTTTTTTTTTACATCACGCGACGTATGAATGCCACCGTGTTTCCGGAAAAAAATATTAGGCTGAATAGAAATTTGTAAAATTGTAGGCTGATAGAAATTTGATAGATTTTGTCCATTTTAAAATCGAGAATATTAAGCGGATATCAAAACTCTGAAATCTCGAAAAAAAATCAATTAATCAAAAGCAATTTGTGTTTAAATGCCTGGCCGGCGAATTCCATATATCGATTGCAATATAAATTTTATGCTATTGACGTTCATAAGATTTGTGAAGAATAATTGATTAAATTGCGAAAATGTATCTCAAAATTATTTATATATATAT